TTCCTATACACCAGTGACTAGAGTGTACTACAGTGAACCTTGCAATGTTAATGCGTTCCCTTTTGATGAGTTCTCAAAAGTTCTCTTAGCCTGGAAGTTAGAAATGATGTAAGTATCTTCCATTTAATATTTGCAAATTAAAGAAAAAAGAAGAAAGTACTTATCGAAAAAAATATTCACAAAATAAGGCATACCTGTCGTAAGAGCCGACGCAAATCCAGTAAACACCACCTTACTTTGTTTGGAATATTAAACACCACCCTACTCTGTTTGGAATACTAATATTAGGAGTTTCAAGTGAGTTTCACTTGTGGTACCTGAGAAAAGCTGTAAATCTTATACCACGGTTGTCACGACCCACTGCTTTGGCTGTTCTGACTAATTGTGGTTAATGCGTTTAGTGGAAGTATCGTGATAGGAGTGGGTAACATCCTAATTTAAGTGGATAAAATGTCTGTATTCTGTAGTAAATATACATTTTACTACCATGTACCGTGGCATTAAGAACAGCAGAATTGTTAGATGGGCTTCCTAGGAAAGGATAAAAACTATATCCATTGGTGTGTATTGGTGCGTTATACGGATTCATGTGTTAAGAGCATGGTGCTGTTCAGCCTTAATGGCAAGGCTTCCATTGTAATCACATTAAAAAGCTATTGACTCTGTTGCTTAATCAAGAAACTGGGTTAGGAAACTATCTTTCTCTCTCGCTCTCTACCTTGCTCGTCACTCTGTTTCTCGCAAGAAACTTAAGTCTTAGTGTTGATACTTTGAGCAGACATCTGCCAAAATCAAATAGTGACAATTAAGTTCTTAAACCATACTTTTACTAAGCTAGATTTTTTACCAATAATTACTTTATTAGGGGCTCTTCTTCTTTAAATTGAGTGTAGCACCATCACAAACTCACGGAAAATTTACGAGTACTATGATTGATCAGTATTGAAATAAAGTAATGTAGTACTTATTATTAAGCAATTTCAACATCAATTTTATATTAAAGTGACATATATAACGTTTTTACATAAATGTTATAATTAAGACTTGTAATCTCTTTAACCCCTTGGTAGCACTAATATCTATTAGTTAAATTTTTCCTTCAATATGAATATATTGATATTTGTTTCTTCTTAAAGTGGTTTCCTTTTACTCTTCGCTTATCGATATAAATGAAGACATAAATATTGCTTTTATATCACCACATCTGAGTCATAAAACACCAACCACTAATACTGACACATAATCGCAATTACGGTTTCCTCGTCATAAATCGCGCCTAAAAAACGCACTTACTCAATGGCTGTGATAGTCATAAATTTTCACAAAGTTTCGTTCGTACGCCTCTACGCCTACAAGAACGAAACAACATAGCAACAATGTTAAAGGGAACAAAACATGCGAAACGGAAGACGTCTAAGTACAAAGCAAAATTTTACGACCGACATATGCCCACAGCTTAGCTATGTGCCTTTGTGCCCGTGTGGTTGTTTGCTTTCTTTGACTTCAGAAATTGAGTGGCTAAGGAAAAGCCCAAGAAGCCAATGAGTGCTCGTATGTGTGTAAGCAAACAATGCCACAGGATCTCCACATTAACATCCAGAACACAAAGGAATTGTTTGGGTCGTTACTCGTTTTGTGTAATGTAATGTGGGTATTACAAAATTTTACATTTTATTTATAAATTCTTACATGAAAAGTGTCCTTTGTTCGGTTTTTTATATTTTTCAAAAATTAGTTAGCGAATGATTTACTTTCGTCATGGAATATTATAATAATTCAACTGATTTTTATGACATATTTCTCATTAAATATAATAGATGTGAAACATGTGAGGCCGTTTTAAAACAAGGGTTGTTTTAAAAATGTCTATATATTTCTGTATATGTAGAGAAGTTGTTTCAACTTAACTTCTTCGACAAATTTCTTGCCGCAAATATTATTCTGACATTAAAAGGACCTAGAGAGAATCTAGACAAAACCTAGAGCAGGGATTGTATATTGGAATTCAATATTGTTATTCTTTGTTTTTCGAATAGACATCGAATATTGCTGTGAATGAACTCTATCTACAAAGGAACCGATTTTCTTCATTTTTTGTGTACTTTGAGCAGATTAATTAGTGTTACTATAACACTTTCCTTTTTTTTTACTCACCTGTATACATACTATCCAAAGCGGCTAATTATCGTACCAGCACTTGTTTATTAAGTTTCATTGAAAACCATTTAAGTACTTTAAATAAAATAACTAACCTTTCCAATAATAATTTCAAATATATATTCTTCACATAGATTTTTTTAAGAGCAATACAAAATCTATTACCTCTCTATCTATGCTAATATTTTTCGAATTAGCAACTTATTGGTCAACTACTTAGCAACTTTTTGATAAAATAGGCAAATTTTTTATGTATAGAAGATAAAGCACAGCCATAATAGCCCCCTAAAACCTACTATTAATACCATTAATAGTGTGGTATTGCAGAAACATAAACTAAAAGACAACTCAGAACCTTGAGGGATCTTGAAAGAAAAATGCTGCTTAGGGAATTTGCTAATTCAAAATGAGATAAGGATATGAAAGAGCACAAGAAGAAAATATAGACCACACCTGAAATTTCTAATGATATTTAGCTAGATGGAAATTATTATTAAATAATTGGCTATAAATGCACCCCAACCTAAAAGCTTTATTGTTCGTTTCAAAGCCCAACTAAAACAATTCTAGACTATTTATAAATCTCGTATTTACTGTGGACTTAACATAATTTTACCTATTTGATTTGGGATCACTTCCACCGCTAGTTTCTTGCCACCGCGAGGCAGTTACATAGAATATGTTCAGATGTCTCCTTCACCTTATGACAGAATCGACAGCAATCGCTTTCTACCGCACCTATATTATTCATGTGTACTTGAGTCCACAGTGTCCTATAAGAAGTACAGCGTGGACTTTAAAATCGTTTCTGCTAAGATTAAAGATAGCATCAACTTTGATGTGCTCAGGATCAATAAATCTTCTTGACTGCCGCTTGCCTGTTTGTGCTCTCCAGTGTTCAAGTATATTTCGTGTCTCTATTTCACATATTCAATTATTTGTGTACCTATTTGTTGTCCCACAGAAGGGCTCTAGACCAATGAAAGGTTATGTATTAAAAGATTAAAAGGTTAAAGATAGCACTTTGATATATTCAAGATCAATGAAGCTTCTTGACTGCCGCATGCCTGTTTGGGCTCTCCAGAGGTTAAGTTAATTTCGGTTCCCTTGTGCTCATATTAAGTTATTTTTGAAGCTATTTGTTGCCCTTCAGAAGGTTCTGGGCCAATAAAAGGTTACGTATTAAAAAATTAATAGGTTAAATATAGAACTTTGATGTGTTCAGGATCAGTGTTCAAGTTGATTTCCTTTCTAATGTTCATACATTAAGTTATTTGTGTAGCTATTTGTTACCCCGCAGAAGGGTTCTAGACCAATGAAAGGTTACGTATAAATATTTAATTTAAAAATTAATATTAACAAACAAAAGTTTTATGTTAGACATATAATAAATTTATTTTATTTATCACTTCATGTTCGTCATTTAATCTAATTCATATTTCAAAGAATTAAATTCTTAATTTAAAAATAAAATATACAATAGATAGTTAGTAACAACTTAGTTTAAAAATGCTTAATAATTATGGTATTAACTAACTTATATATAAAAGTTGGTATAAAATAATTAAATGCTTTTTAGTAAGAAGTAAAAAAGTTTAATATTATAAAAAAAATTTAATTCACTTAATTATTTAGTAATAATTATTAAATTTTATTTTTTTAGTAATTAAGTCTAAATAAAAATTTAATAATTTTGTTTTTAAAATTTTTTAATTATATTGATAAAAACAACATCTTAGTTGCTTTGAAACAATTTATTTGCAAATTCTTATACTTGAGTCATTTCCTTTTATATACTATATATATTTATTTATAATTTTTCTGTTATTTTTATATATTTATTTACACTTGATACAAAGTAAAACGTTCTTACATATTTCACAACATTAACTTTTAAAGCAAATTAAATATTTCTCTCATTTAAGCGTTTGCAAACAACCTGAAACGTAAACATTTATCTTAGTTAATTAAAGATGAGAAGCAACTTAGAGGACGAGAAATGTTCTGCATTATATGATTTACAATGTTTGGTCTTTAAAGAATTTTATTTCATTTTGGTTGATGAAGTTTTTCTTTATCTTTTTCTATTTTTTTTTTTTATAATGACAAAAATATTTCTTTTCTAATTGTTAAATATAAATTCTTATTTAATTGAACGATATGCACATTTAAACTCGAAGTCCTTTCATCTAATTTAAATCCAAATAAAATATCTGAGGCGTTAATGCGTAAAATGTTATAAAAATGTGTGATTTTACAATGTTGATTTAAGTCTTAAAATAATTTATAACTGTTTGTGCTTTTAACAAATCAATATACTTTATAATAATAATAATAATATATTATAAGTATGCAGAAGAAAACTAAATTTTTAATTTCAAAAATAACTCACAAACACAAAAGTAGTTCAGTGCCAAAATTGATACTAGATTTCCTTTGCAGGACGATGCAGGACGATGTAGGACGATGCAGGACGTTGGTATGGTAAGAAAATATAGCAAAATCCATTTAACATTTATTAATAATTCAATTGTCGAAATGTTATTTAAACCGCAGGAAGAATAAATTGTTTACCATGGAAAAGCACAGCTGTTCACACATATTTTATATACATACAACGACACTTAATACTTAAGGTGAAACAAAGATAACAAATAATTTGTTTTCAATAATATTACATACTTATGAGTTTACTTTCCAATAAATAAATATTTTATTTACATTTACATTTACTTGCTATATAACACATTTTTCAGCTTAATTTTGTTGTAAATAAATTTATGCCTGAAGTTCAATAATAATATATATATATATATATAGGAAAATTGCTACATGTCAAAATATAAATTTTTAAATGTCCTTACTTAAGTTCCCTTAACAACGAAAGGAATTAAAATACAATTTCAGCTATTTAGGTTAAGACTCTGCGTAGAAGTAATTGACAAGTCATCGTTAATATTGCAGTGATTGTAAGTAGACGCCAACACGATAGATTGTTCCATTGGTGGATACTTGAAGTTGCACTCCGTACTGCAATAGAAAGAAATATAAAAAAAATTACTTAATTAAAAAATAAGTACTAAGCAAAATAAATGAGAAAATAATTGAAAATCGTATTAAAACCCCATGAGCTGTCACTTCAAACTTTGCAATTTTCAATATCCTTTGAAAGCACTGGTAAGTGCATTGTAGTGCATGAATTATTTATATACGATTTAGTCGATAATGCAAATTGATTAGAATATAAATGGAATGCAATGAAACTATTGTAAAACATAGAAAAATTTATTTTAGAAATGCGCTGATTTGTTATTAACTACCTTTTGTTAGGTGCACTTAAGTGCTCTTAAGTTTGCTATAATAATGAAGAAAGTTATAGCAGAAAGTTTGCATGCTTTCGCATGAAAGAATTACGCATGCTGTAAAGGACCAGCGGAGGACAATTATGGAAAAGGTACAAAACAATTAAATTTATAATAGAACTAAAATCGTTCAGATCAGTATCAAGCTAAAAGAAAACCATTTCTACTCTAAGTCATGTAGGGAAGAATTCTACCTACTCGTCCGTAGGTACCTCACCCTTTCCTCGGCGTCTCCATCCCAAATACCATTATTCCTGCCTTGTACTTCAAACCTCTCCAATACTTGTCCCACTACTTCGATGAGTCTCTACACAATTCCCCTTTATAACCGCAGTTTTCGTGACCCTAGTCACAAAATTTGTCGCTAGTCTCACCCGAGGGTACGTGCTTTAACCCCACCCCCTTCACCATCACTATATCACCCTAAATCACGCTTCTGCTTTCTGGCTTAGATAAACCTAGCCCACTCGAGGTAGACCTATATGTTCACATCTCTCTCTCCTGATTACTGGAATGAAGTGTCCTCAATGCTGTGGAAATCTTCTCCATTCATTTCTAAGAGGTGGTGTTAGTGGGTTCAAGTCTCACACTGTGGCTTTCGATGCTTTCATTGTTTTAAAACCACTGTTTTAAAACAAAACAAAAAACATTTTCACCAATTGGGGCCGGGTACGATATCGAGAACTTGTAAAGATACAGTTCAAAACGACTAGTGAAGCAATCGCGTAAAGGCTGAGATAACTCGGTGCCATGTGACTTGGTAATATGCAGAGTTGGTTAGAAATAAAAACTGCTACGAAAAGAACGAGGTATAGAAGAAAAAAGCTGTTCGACTGTATGAGAAGAATGCTCAAAGCATTAACCTCCGCTTCAAAAGTGGTCACAATTCTTCCTATTGCATATTATAGAAACATATTTATTATTTGTTTGTCTATATTTGTTTATTTATGTAATTTGTTTATGTATTTGTAATTATTTATTTATTTGATATAATATTGAGGAAAATTGTGAAGTTGATATGTATTAAAGTATTAATCTGTTGCCAGCTTTAGTATTACTAACTAATAATTTTGTTTTTAATTAATTTCCGTTTATAATATGTAGAGATTTTAAAACTAATTAAAACAATGTCTTGTATGTAGCTTATAAAATGTTTCTGCCTATTCCATCTGTTGTTTCTATATTAACATTTTAATTAAAAGTATTTCTCGTTTATTTAATTACAGTTTATTATAATATAGACTCATGATATCTGCTTATTGTATTTAATTAAAATTTGCTGTAAATATACCAACATCTGTTGTATAACAGAAACCAAAATGTATTTTGATTCAAGATCAAACAGTGACTCCGACATTACTATATTATCAACATCATGTAAACAGCACATCAACAGAAGAACCTATTTAATTCATAAAAAGCTTTTAAAACCTTTTGTCATTCATTGTCATTGCAATATTTAGCGACAATTTAAACAGTTATATCTATGATTAATGGTGGCTGAAAGTTAGTGAAAGCAACTTACCACATTTATGTGGTAAAGATATGACCCTTTAAAAAAAAGGATATTTTTATTTTAAATAAAAATGCTGTCATTAAATGCAGTAATCAAGATAAAAAACAGCAAGTATCGAATTACATACATTCACTCTTAAAATCAACTCACACCAAGTCATAATACATTATGTATAAATTTTTTTATGTGTACATATATAACAAGGTACTATCCAACAATCTACTTAAACCATAAAAATAAATGTCATTTTGACATTTTTCATGCCATCAACCCCAGAAACCATCCCACCATCCCTCCATTTTGTACCTACATCAAGTGTACTTTAATATTCTGCTAATTATAGGAATTATTTGAAATTAAATTTTTATTGAATTTTCAACAAGCAATCAACATAAACAAATAACCAGGAAAATAAATTTAAGGTTCAATTATTTTTATTTGAAATTTTACGATACCCGTTCACACCAGCACTTGACTCTTTCAACTTTGCACTTACCTAACAGCATGGCTTCCCTATTGTTTATGATTCCAGGTCGTCGCTGCAAAACACTCTCCTTATTCCCTTTCCACAGCACCGGCGATATGCTAGCCAAACATTTGACACGCATTGCTCCGTCATGAAAATGACTTGGTTCAACTGTCAACTGCAGACCAAGCGTTGACGTAATGAGGCCATGTTTATGTACGGTATTGTTGTACCTTGCCAGCGAGCTTTCGTTAGTCACCTGAGAACAGAACAAACAAAACAAACAAAACACGTTAAACACATTTAACTGATGGATGAGCATACTTAAAACTTAAAATTAATTGCGAATAATAATTCTCGACTTGATCCAGATGCTGCTCGAACGCAATAAAAATCAATGTAAATACGTAAATGTTGTTGACTTACTTAAGCTACACACAACGCGTCTTATACGCTTTTCATCCAAATGGAATTCGTTAAATTTAATGCAAATATCTTGATGTTTTTTTTTGTATTTTTCTATTTTTCTATTTTATTATTATTTTATTTTTATTTTTTTGTTTTTGCTTGGTTGTCTTATTTTCCATAGTATGCTTAATAGTTTTGACCTTCCGTGTACTTTTCTCTCAGTGTATGTTTTTGCTACGTAGCTGCACGTGTCGGTATTACTCACAGTAAAAAATTTTAAATAAATTTGCCAAAGGATTATTATGCTAAACAAAGTTGAATTTGGAAGAAGTTGATAAGCTGCTGGAAAAACATTTCAGCTTTTTGTCGGTGTCGTCTCCGTCTCCGTTTCTATCTCCATCTCTGTCATCGTCATCGTCATCGTCGTCTTCGTCGTTTAGAGATGAGTCACGGAATAGTCATTGAATATCTTTTTCCATTACCACATTTTTTACTTAATTTTATTTAAAGGATTCGTGGCTTAGCAACTGTTTCAACTTAAATTATTTTTATTCAATTTCCTATTAGTTTCCAGCAGTAAAGGGAAAATATTTGAAAGAATTTCAAATTGAATTTCAATTTTTTGACTTTATAGTTATACACTAGGAAATTCAAAGAAGTATACGGAATATCAGTTATGCAGGATAATGACTTTAAATATTTACAATCATTTTTTTTTTCAAATATCATTTAATGAAATTTACTATAATGATAGACTCAGAATAAGTTCATCTATTGAAATATTTAATAAAATATGTAACCGACGTGACTACACAAGCTAACCTTCAATAATTTTAAATAGAAACCATTAAAACCATGAAAGGATAAATAAAAAGAAATAAAAATTGGTTTAGTATTTCGCAGAACGCCTTTTCTGTGCTCTTAAACACCGTCCCATGACACATTATTTCAGGTCACCTTAAGTTTGACCAAGTTTAAGCACGTTTTACATAGATAGATAGAGATAGATACCACTGGCAGTTAAATAGATGTTAAGTGAGCACTGTGTCACAGAAATCAGGGTGATCTAGACCCTAAATGTATTATAACACGAAGATGCATCTATAGTTAAAAAAAATTTTGAGTGGACGGACAATTTTTTGTGACAACAAACTTCTAAATCATTTAAATAACGCATGATGTCCTTAATCCCCACATTGTAAATATCGAATAGGCATTAAAAAAACTGAAAACCAATAGTGGATAGATTTTTGCCTTCTGCTGAGTGCCTGGTATTAACAGAGCAAAAATTTTCTTTTTCTTGTCTTGATTGCCTCTAATATACCTCTAAGAAAGCATCTCTTCTACTATATATATATAAATATGTACATAATATTTGATGTTACAAAAAGTATCCACCATATTTCGATACATTTTCAAACAACACTTTTCTTTCTCGAAATTTTCGATAATAAAATTAATATTGGTCATTATTATATATGGATGTGTAGCGTTTACCAAAGCCTCAAACTCTACTATTCACCAGCTAGAAAATGCACAAAGCCATGGTACATTAAAGCGAATGACATCCTCGAGGACCTCATAATTAATCCAATCAAAAAATACATAAACGATGGAGCCCTAAATTTGTTTACGAAAACTGACAGACTTACCAACACGGCGTTATCAAATCTCACAATGATTACAGGCTCCTCGGAGAGGTATGCAAATCTGAGGTCAATTTTTGGTTAGTCTAATGAAGTGATAAGCAATAATTCAGTCAAGAAGTAAAGAGGGGTTTTGATGACACCTCGTAGAGTAAAAGTGTTTAGGTGCACTGGCTCAAATAGCTTCAACATAATAATTATTAATGACATTTTGGCATTTTTCGGATAGGTTGATAATTCAATCGGGATAGAACTTCTTCTGGAAAAAACTTGTACAAATGATTTTCAACGTCTCTTCGATCGGGCAGTTTTTTTTACTTAAGCAAATTTCGCAGAGACCGAAATTCAAATCAATTTATTCCACGTTTTCAATGATGTATATGATATGACATTGTCATGATGAAATTCAACTTGTTTTTGGCCAGTTTTGGTTTTGGTCTTTTCTGGATTGTTTCATTTAAGCGATCGAGCAGTAAACAGTAAAGAGCTGAGTTGATCGTTACACCAGATCGAATACAATCTTTTTAAACATTCGATATAACGTTAGGTATTATTAATCCAGGCTTTAAAATTGTTTGATGAAGGTCACGAGCTTTAGATCATTATCGTTTGCATTGGATATTATTGAACATAGCAAGTTCTGATTTAAATCAAAAATATTTTACAAACTACGAGTATGTTTAACAAATAATTTATAAACTATGATTATTATTATTATTATATAGTGTGTAACTATACCTTAATTATACCATAAATTTTGTACTTCACCCGAATGCGAACATTTTATTTTCCTAGAGTCTTGAAAATATTAAATTATTGCTTTTAAATTCTTCCACAATAAAATGAAGCTTAATCAAATTTTCGGGATACTGCTTTGTATTCATGCACAAGTTGATCCTTTGAGTGCAATTCTACTTTTTGGAGTGAATTCATAACTACCAAACTACCGAATACTACATAGGCATTGACATTGCCTTTGAATAGAGTACTCCAGAGGCAAATAATAATGCACAAAGTAAGTATGGGGGATTTGCAGTACATGCTAAAAAATAAAATGAAAAAGAGGAATGAAAGTTAAAAAAAATGTGGGAAAAAATTAAAAATTTTATTTAAAGAAATACAAAATTGTTAAACTACATAAAAAGCTTTTTACTCTGCAGTTGAATAAAAAAGCAAGTGTTTTGGGAGTGTTTTGAGAGTTGCATTCATTTTCATCAGCAAATCGGCTTTTGTGAACTTTTTCTAATTTTATTTTATTTCAATTACAATTTTTTTTATTATTTTATTTTGAGTTATATACATGTAATATATATATATATATATAAATTTTTCTGTAATGTAACAATAAAAAGAATACGAATGACTTGCATTTGTTAATAATTTTTTAGATACTTTAATAATACTTAATTAAATACTTGTATGTTGCTGCTATTCATTAGATTAATTAAAAGAAAAAATCAATTAATTTTTTCTCTCATCACCATGACATTGAGTAAATTGCTAGCATGATATTAAGCTTTTAAATTAAATAATTTAAGTATTTTGAAGCATTTAAGTGACATCAAAGTTGGAATTTAAATAAATTGCATACAAGCAATTTTATTTGTGATATCTGTGAAACGTTGCATTTTCCATCTGCAGTAATTTACGTTGCTTTCCATGGAAGGAATACGTGCATTGGTTGTAAATTATTGCACACTAAAAGAAAATGAAATGTAAAAAAATAATATAAAAATAACAAGAAAAAAGAAGAATAAGAATAAAATTTAAAAGGATGCTTATGTGTCCCGAACGGAATTGCACACAGCAACGTTCTGATGCGGTTACGGCAGTCAAGGATTGCCAAGATTATGGGCTTTTCTTCTTTAAGTGCCAAAACTTGAAATATATTTCTTAAGAGTGTTGCATTTAAGCCTACTAAAGGTACAGCAGAGACTCCAACTTATATTTATGTATAAGTTGAATAAGGAAAAATTAAAAATATAAATTTTAATAAAGTTGTTAGATACAATAAATAAGGATATCTGACATAATGAATAATAAATTTTCTTTTATAACAATATTATTAAATTAAAGCAGAATCCAAGAAGATAAAGGGTTCATAATAATTATTTTATAGGGTTTTGATAGAGATATTCATGTAGGTTAACTAAGAAGAAAGACTGTGTGTTATTTGGAATATTTTGTGAAAATGTATTAAACTTTATTTACTGATTTCACAGAAGAAGACTTCAAAAGGGTTTGTATTTAATATGAATTGCTACAATTACATTATAAAAACTTAAAATAAGAAATAATTGGTTGTGGTTTTAATTAGTAGTTTAATTAGTATTATGTTGATGCTGTTTTGAGCTAGTGCACTTAAGCACTTCCACTCTTTTTTAACTCGAAGTATTTTCAAAACCCCTATTTACACCTTGACAAGATTATTGTTTATCACTTCATCAGACTAAACAATAATTGACCTCAGATCAGCATATCTCCCCGAGGAGAGATTTGAGATTTGATAACGCGGTGTTGCTAAGTCTGTCAGTTTTCGCAAATAATTTTAGGGCTCTATCCTTTATGTATTTTTTGATGGGATCAATATTGATGTCCCGGACGATGTCATACGTATTCTGTAGTAGTTCAGAATACATATGATATATAAACAATATGAATTTCTCGGAACCATCTAACGAAGTTGTTAGTGTTTATAACCAAAAAGTTTACCTTTTCAGTTTTTATATATGGAGTGTGTTTTTGCAATCATTTTTATCTCATTCATAAGAAGAGTTGTCATCCAGCTAGAGAATGGAAGCATTCTTTAGCATTTTTAGGCCTTTCTCTTAAATCCGACTGACTTGTATACCCAAAATGTTGTTATGGTTTATGACTTAAAAAGATTTATTCAGTTAAAATCATTATGAATATACATAGTTTACTTATTTAGAGATATGCTCCTCATGACATTACAAATATCTTCATAAAGCTAATATACAAAAGGCAGCACATAACCATTCTGTCGGACAGTTAAGCCTTTAATCATATGAAGTTGATTTTAAATTAGTTTAAGACTGCCTAGAACAGTGTGGCCAATTCAAATGATCTTGCATGTCACTTAAGAAATGCATCATACCTCCGCGAGTCACTTACTTTATATACCCATGTCGGTTATAAATCCTCTTTAGACATTCTTTATATTAGAAAATTGAAAAAATTATTTTAAAATCAAACTGAATTTTTTCTCACAATTTCGACAGTTATTTTTTTCATTTATATAGATACTTAAATAATGTATGCCTTTTACAAATAAGTTTTTACTAGATTGGC